ATAACAAATAAAAATAATAAAATAAAATAAAATATAAATAAAAATAAAATAATCAATAAATAATAAAAAAAGCATTATATTTATCTGTCTATAAGTGCAAACTAAACGTATCAGATTAGTGACAATATAATCTTAATAAGCTAGCAAAGATAACCTAATTGATAGCTGCTAAAAAGGCTTTGGTTGCAACTCTGACTACTTAACCAAATTGTAAAGCTTACCGAATAAAAAGTGAAAAATATAATTTATTTGAATAAATAGATGATTAATACTCCAATTAACAAAACTGTAATGATATACTAGCTAACAACACTAAAACTAGTAGTTAGTTAAACCATCACTATGTCTAATTTATAAATCATTGAAAGTCATACTGATTCTGAAAATGAGTATTGTATGACTTATGAAGACAAAGCAACTATGCAAAAAAAATTTTTTTTATGCCTTGTCGTGACATTAAGATTGAGTATTAAATTAAGAGCTGATAGTTAAATTTCCAACTTTTAAATTATTATTTAGTATTATCCCTACTCCAGCAGTTCCATATTCTCCTAATTCTTAAAATATAGAGAAAGGATTTATTTGAAGATTAGAATTTTTTTTGTACCAGGTACTTGCATTGAAGAATATTGGCTGCTATCAATATAAATCATGCAGATTGACATTTAAAAAAAATCAATCTCTTATCTTTCATAGCCTATATCTCGATGAATTTTGAAGCCATCTTGATGGATTAATATTCAAAAGAAAGAATAAGATCTTTTGAATATTGATTCATCAAGATAACCTCAAAATTCATTGAGACATAGGCTATTAAAGTTAAGAGATTGATTTTTTTAAATATCAATCTACTTGATTTCTATTGACGGTAGCCCATATGTCAGTTGTAGAGGTAGTATACCAGGTGCTGGTAAATATACATTTAACAATGATTTTGATGTAATTTGTCTTGCTACCTCCAAATATAATACAAATTTCACACTCATCTCTTATAGATGAGTGTAAATTTGCACATTATATTATGAATAAGTTACATAAAAATCAGTGCTTACATTAGATCTAGATATACTTGTTATTCACCAGGATACTGTTTTTATAATATGACCTTCAGCCACATTATAATGCGGTATCTGCTATGAATAAATTAGCAATTATCAGCCACAATATGACTAATAATACACCTATCCAACATGTCTTATGTGAACACCAAACCTAATATAAATACACAAATTTTTACTTATCTCTTAAGAGATGATGAAAATTTGTGTATTGTATTAGGAGGTGGCTGAATAAGATACACAAAAATCATTTGGTGTTCACATAAGACATGTCAGATAAAACCCAGTTAACAGTTATGATAGATAATAACTAATCTTTCACAATAGATACTGTATTATGATGTGATCTATAAGCACATTATCCTAGTGAATAATCAGCTATCACTATGACATGGTAAATAACTATTGCTTACATTGCAACTAGATTTCAAGCCTTATAGTGAAGAGTTATTACCATCACCACTTCAAATAGTGACAGTAAACTGTAAAAAAATTACAAGTTAATAGTAGTTAAATGGTTTGTTAGTTTGTTTTACCTCATGAGGTTCAATTTATCATAATAATGGCATCAAATTTTTTTGATATATATTGCTTCGATAATGGAATTGCATGGTGAGTCTTCATTATATTTATGTAGGATTTGGTATATATTCTATTTATATCATTAACATATTGCCCTTCATGGGACTCTTCCTACTAACATCTGTTTAGCATACTGTAATTCACCTGTTGGAAATTAACCAGAAAAATATTTTCTTGTCTATAGATTCATCAAATCTGAATAGTTTTGCCTTTGTCCGGTACTCTTCATTATTTTAGCACTCAATACATCCATCTGCATTTCTTGAAATACTACGATAGATAATCTCATCATTTTGAAGAGGTGAAATTCTAGTTCTTGGTGTGATTTTCAAACCTTATATCCTAGTATTGTAAATACTTATGTGTATTCTTTGAACTTTTAGCATGTGGTAGTGGTTCTGGTCAGTGCCCACAGTTTTATTGCTGCTAGTGTGTACATATTTTAATATCTTAGAATTAAATCTCTAACTCTTGGTTCTGAATTCAACCAAAATTTTTTTGTTATCTTTTTTTTTGTACTTTATGCCCACATTTGTATTATCTAAATAACCAAAGTAAAATGTAGCTATTTAAAAAAGTTTTTATGAACTAAATACTACTAAAATAATTTAATTATAACTTATACTTGTAGAAATCCTCACTCAATTAATCATATTTAACCCATTTTATATAATCAAAAATTTTATAAATAAACAAAATAATTTGCCACAATACACAATATTTTAAAATTAAATTTATTACCTATAGCAAAGATGAAAACAAAAAGAAAAAAAGACTTTATAATAGGGAAAAAATTATAAAAAATGAAGAAACATTAACTATATATAAAAGAAAAATTTGATTATAAAGAAAGATATAAAGAAAGAACATCTGCTATACAATGCAAATATTTCATAACTGGCCAATTTTTATAGCCATGATTCTTTTCTTCTTTTCAATATAATATTGATTTGGCCTGAGTCTCAACTCTCCTTGGAGAATGCGCACAACTTGATTATCAACATTTTGCTGTTCCTTTTGTAATTCCTCTATCAACGTATATACACTTACATTTGGCTTTCCAACTATAGTATTCCACCTATTGTGCCAGGCTTTCATGGAGTTTTGCATCTGTGAAATGCTCAGCTCTACTGATTCATAAACCAACTATAGTTGTGGATGAAATAATGGTAAGTTGCAGTCTATTGTATTATCTTGCCATATCACAATATAAGTTTTTTTGAACTATTGAGTCACTTTACTTGCCTCTGGAGGTATACTTACTATTAGGGTATTAAATGCATCTTGAATTTGGTCCGCTGGCATAAATGCCAGGATAAATAAATACCAAATCATGCGGCTAAAAAAAAAAATTACATCTATATTTAGTAATTAAACCAGACTTCTGAACCTTATGCCATCCACTTTGGCATAGATGAAAAAAATATCACTTGTTTACCACATTAGGAAATTCGCAACAGGATGCATTAATAGCTGCTCTTTTAAAGTCAGTATTATCTATTTGGGATTTAACTAAATATCGATTTGTTGAGCAAATGTAATTAAGCCATTGACGAATTGCCTATATTTAGAGTTAGAATTTTTAATTAAAATAGATTAAGGTTTAGTGATATTACTCAAATTATTTGAATGTCTAAACTATAAATAGTATCACACATTGCTATACGTAGTAAAATTTAAATCCCAACACTAACCTATAAGATTCTTTAGATTTGTTTGTCATAAGAGCATATACTAATGGAAGAATTCTAGAATTTTCTTCAGGTCTAACTGGCACATGGATAGTGTAATATTGATAAAAAATAGTTAGCACTATTTTGAAAGTACTATCCATAATCTAATAGGAGGCTTTGGATAAATGCTTGATATTTTTATTTGTAGAAAATATGAGAGTTCTGCTTTGGCCATCTATGCGATCTTTGATTAAAAAAAGATCACCATTTAAAGTATTACAAAGTGTGAGTGGAAGATCAAAGTCCAAAGCATGTTGTAATTGTAGTAATTGTACAGTTTTTCTAAAATGAACAACTGCTTTACGAAGAGCATTGTGTGATGGCAAAAAGAGTTTAATATCTTCTGGAAGGGTAGCCATATAATTTTGAATTAGTTGTATGGGCTTTTCTTTACTTTGAGAGGTATGTTTTTTAATTTCAGTAATAGCTTTAACTACTTCTACATGGCTAGCATCAGGCAAGTGTTTATGTTCAGACATGTCTTGCAGATAATGCAAGTTTTTAATTAAAAGTGTTGTTGTATAGCCATTATATTTTTTTGACTTCCTAAATTTGCAGCACCAATAATATTTATTCCCAACATTTTTTTCTTTAACTATTAGATACCCATGAACATTTAATTTGTCTTTTCCGTTTTGAGATTGTACAACCTCACAAGTTTCTTCCGATTTTTGCATTTTTATTAAAAAGCACCATATGATGATTATAGAAAGAAAGAATAGTGATTATAAATAATAAAATGAAAGTGGGTGAGTATTATTGAATACAAAATGAGCAAAAGAATTTAAGCTCATACTATCATATTTTTTTATATTTTTCACAATATTAGTTGTAATCTAATA